CGCCGCCCGCGGGCTCAGTCCCCAACTCGGCGGTCCGCGCCCGAGCGCCGGCAGCGTCCCTGGGCTAGCGGAGGCTTCCTTTCCCCCTAGGTCTCTGTCTCCCCCGGGGATGTCTCTCTCTCCACCCCTGGGGCGCGCTCTGTCTCCTGTCTCTCGGTGGTGTGGTCCGCGCTCCCCGCCCCCAGCGTTCCTGTCTCTGTCTCTGTGTGTCTCCATCTCTGCGTTTGATGCATCGCCCTCCCTGTCTCTCGCGCTGGGGCTCTGGCTCTATGGATATCTGTGTCTCGGGGGTCTCTCCCTGCGTGTCTCCGTGATTAGCTCTCTACTCATCTCTCCAGCTCTCCCATTCCTCTCTCTGGCTCTCGGCATCTCTGTCTCTGGGGCTCTCTCCTTCCCTTATGTCTTCCTGTGAGACCCCGTCTACAGCGTGCAGAGACAGCTTGTCTTCTCCCAGTGGACTGCCCGCTTCTTGAAGGCAGGGACAGAGCTCGGTACCCCAGAAAATGAGCAAAAAGCATGAACAGAATGGTTGGTTATCAAGGCGAATGAAGACAAGTTACTGCAGCTCTAAATGAAATGACCATTGCCTTGAAATCAGAGTGCCACGTTGTTTCTTTCTTTTTTTTTCCCTAAATTTGCCAGAGAGCACGTGTGCCTGCCTGAGGGGGGGGGGGGAAGAAAGCACGTTCGGGGGTTCCCGGAGCCGAGGAGTCGGGGGATTCCGAGTCCTCCCCTAAGCACCCCTGCCCCCAGCCTGGGGCCGCCTGGTCCTCCACCCACCTGCAGGCAGCCATCGGGCCCCAGGGCACAGGATGGGGGTGGGCAAGGGGCCCGAACACTGACCTCGGGGTCCCACCCCCGTTTAGTCCGGCCCCGCGTGGCGTCGCCCCCGAGTTACCAAGCGGTCCCCCGGGTTCTGTTACTGGTCCCTCCGGCCCCTTCTAGGGGGGCTGGAGCGTTGATGGGAGAGGGGGAGGGGACGAGGTGCCCTTTTGGAGGACGGATGGATCGGCGTGGATCGGGGCTCTGGGTCGGGGGATCGTCACCCCACAGGAGCGCGTGTCCTGGTTGGCCCTCTCCCTCCCCTTCCAGCGGGACCCTTCCCTCCCTTGCGACATCTCGTAATTGCTCTTGTCGGTTTTGTGAGGCGCACAAAACGGGCTGCACGGTCGGTCCTGGCATTCCCCAGATTCACGTTTGTGTATTTGTGGACCCCTTCTCTGGGGCAGATTCATCGCGAGAGTTCATCTGATCTTTATCAAGGTCCTGATAGACCAGGTGGAGCTGGGGCTTAGAACTGAAGGTGGGATGGAGCCAGAGCAGTAGCGGAAGTGAAGCCGAGCAGGGACCCCCCAGAAGGGACCCTCCGTTTCCCCTTCTGTTGAAGGAAACAAGGAAATTCCCCAAACTGAATATTAATAAGAGCTGGACTAAAATACATCTTCCTGAGCTACTTAGAATGTACGGCCCAGCAAGAATTGAGATTCTGGACCGAAGTCACCTTCAAATGGTACGAATTTAGGATGTGGCCAGTCACCCCTTTTCTCCTGCTACGCTAAGGCGCCAGCGTGATGGGGCCAGCAGGTGGGTGGTGGCTGAGGCACGGGACCCCCAGGTAGCCGACCACAGTCTGTGTCCCTGACTGGCAGCCTGAAAATCACACCAGGCGCTATGCATGCGTGCCCAAAACCCCTGGAAAATGGAGAAGAGATTGCAGCATGGCCATCCCCTCTGGGAGGAGATTTATCACTTTCTCGCTCAGTCTCTCTGGCAGAAACCTAAAAACAGTGTGAATTCTTCCTAAAGGACTTGTAACCTCCCTCCTCTGCCTCCCAGCTGCAGGAATTAGTAATTAGCACGGTCATGAGTCCAGGCCGTGAGCCCCAAAGTCCCCTCAGCTGCAGTAGGCTCTCAGCTCCTCTCCTAGGGGGGGTTGCGAGGTGGAACTCGTGGTGAGCACGTGGCCCTGGGCTGAGGGGCCAGGACCTGTCGACCGCCCACTCCCAGAGCAGGCACTGCTCACACAGGGCCCAGTCAAGAACACCAGCAGGCCGGCCATGCCTTCCGGAGCCTGTCACAGAGCGGATGGCGAGCCTGGGCCCAGTCAAGAACACCAGCAGGCCGGCCATGCCTTCCGGAGCCTGTCACAGAGCGGATGGCGAGCCTGCGCTGCCCTCACTTGTGCCCTTACAGGTACGCGTTTGGAGGCCAGCAGGTGGCGTTGTGGTTAAGACGCTGGACTCCCACGCAGCTGACCGCAACTGGAGTCCTGGACACACAGGCTTGGAACTTACGCAGGCGTGTATGTGCGCCCAGGATCTCGAGAGGAGAACGGAGAAGGGATTGTGGCGTGCCCATCCCCTCCCAGGGGGCGAGCTCTCACTTTGTCTCTCTGGAGAGTGCAGAAAATCTCCCTTAAAAAAAAAAAATACTAGGAACTCCTGAGGGACCAGACTTCTCGGCATGAGCTGCCCGCTCGCCTTTGCCATAGCAGTCAAGCCGGCTGTCCTTCCTCCGTTCCCTACTCTGCAGGCAGGCCACAGCCACAGGGCGGGTCGGTGTGGTCTGCGGGGGGAACAGGCAGGATCAGATCCGAAGGCCTGTAACGCTGGACTGAGGCTTTGGTAGGAGCATGGGTGAGGCGGGGTGGGGTTGGATTTCAGCAAGGAAGGGCGGGATGAGCTCCGGGCACTGGGCACCGGGCACCGGGCACCGGAAGAAACCCTGTGGGGCCAGCATGGGAGTAAGCTGGTCGAGGCAGGAGGCTGGGCCTAGAACTCAATGAGACAAAGTGTACCCGACCTGGCCCAGGATGCTGGAGAAGAGGGCAGACACAGACGCGATAGAGAACAGCCGGCTGCACCTGGACGGGCCGGAGAGCAAAGGGCAGCCCGGGTGCTTGGGGAAGCCAGGAGGAACAGCTGATTTGGAGGAGAGTGCTGTGACCGAATCGGGGTGCTCGTGGGACTCCAGAGAGGGAGAAATCTTGCTCGTTTCTCCCACCCAGCCCCAAAGGTTTGAGGGGATCATTTCTTTTGGGTGGGGGAGAGAGATTTGCTATAGGGTGCATGCCCTCCCTGTGAGAGACAGAGAGAGACGGAGAGAAAGTGAGAAACCACCCCCACCCCCTCAGAGCGATGGCCACACCACAACCCCTTCTCCTGCATTCTCCTCTCAGGATTTGGGGCACACACAATCCATCTGGCATGGGTTTCAGGTCACCAGGTCCGGGACTCAAACCACAGTCGGCCATGTGGGAGTCCAGTGCCTTAACCATCAAGCTACCTGCTGGCCCTTGACAAGGTCATTTCAAAGACCCAGGCTCAGCGAATATCTTCGAATAACACCAAGATTTTCTTGGCCCCAGCACCTTCCTCCCACCAGGCCCAGGTATTGTGGCTTTGCCTCTTTTCTGGAACCTTTCCTGATAAAAAAGAAAGCACGAGTCCTTCATTTATGTTTATATTGAGATTAAAAAAAAAAACAACAAGAAAAAATGCATGATGGGTGTGGGAGTAGGGAAGCAACAGGCTTCTCTCTACAAATGATAGGAGCTGATGGAGACCAAAAGCTCCAGGGAATTAAAAATAATAATACAATATGTATTGTACATGTATATATATATACCACGTATGCATGTGAGTCCCAGAGAAGCAGGCAGCAGCGAGAAGCGACTAGCACACGAACCACACGTGCCTGCGCGCCACACTCGAGCCACGGCGTCCCTGTGGCTAACCAGCACTGCACATCACCCGCTCCACCCGGAAAGAAACTTCCCTCTTTAATAGGGCCACCTGCAATGTTTGCCCTCGTGACCAGAGGAGAAAACATCCCAGGCTGACATACCTTTCGGCCAGCAGGGCTGTTTTCGTCTCCCCGCCAGAGCAGGACACATCACTGCTAACCCCGAGGCTCTGGGGCCCCCCGTGGCCCTGCACATCCACAGACGATCCTCTTCAAGACTGGGGGGGTCCTTTGCCCGACTTCGTAACACAGAGGATGCTGGGAGGAAAGGCACCCGTCCGCCCTGCTTCCGTCAAGGTGGCCGTGGGCAGTGCATTTGCAGGAAGCCTGGCAAAAACCCCAGGGCTGATCTTGGGCGGGGTGAGGGCCAGGCGGGCCTAGGGACCCCGGGTCTGTGCTTAAAGCCTCCCGCCCTCTGGGTATGATTGCCCTCCGGAGAGTTTTTTTTTAACTTAAAGGGGAGGTGCACTGTGCACCCTCCTCACTGGCAGAAGGGGGCCCGGGCCAGCTCCCACCCCCACCCCCCCACACACAGACACTAAGGCACAGCCAGGGCGGGCAGGCATGCTTTGGCAATGAGGCCCCGTGGGAGGCCCGTGGCACGGACAGCTGCACAGGGGCGTGGCGTGTGGAGCTCAGCACCTTCGGAGGAGGTGGGGACAGGAGAGAGACTGCTCTGGCTCCAGGGACACGG